CATTTTTCATTTATTTCATATGTAATATACTTCGATGAAAGATTTGCTAATTATCGATGCAGAAGAAATTTACAGGAATTTTTAAATATATATTTTTATCAACGTACCTCTCTTAAATGTTATGAATGACGGTACTTACAATCTCCACTTGTATCCTTCTAAAAACGTGTTCAATGTATCCATTAAAATATCGTAGCTCATTTTTTGGTTCTTGCTCAGTGAAGAATTATCAATGAGCCGAAGCTGTTGAACAAAACTCTCTACTTTCGCCTACAAGTAAATGAATAATTAATTATTTGAATGGACAAAGAACGTTATATAATGGGCCCCGAGTGGCCGAGTGGTCTACAGCGCTGACTATTACGGATCACTCCCATCTCACCTCTGTCTGCGTGAGTTCGAGTCTAGGCTTGGCTAACGTGGGTACGTGGGAAAGCCTGCCAGTAGCTTCTCTTGGGTAGGTGGTTCTTCCCTGGGTTTTCCAGGGTTCTTCCTCCACTATTAATATTGGCCGCCATGTATTGCCTATCTTGTGCTGAAAAATGGCGTTAAACCCTAAAACAACAACAACATACAATGTTACAGTAATAGAGCATCAGATCAAAATACATACTCCAAATACCATTGAAAATTATAGCAGTATTTGTACAAAATTTCAAAATCGTCTGACGAATTTCAATGGTGCTATAATAAAAGTGTTGACCCAACTCTCTCTCTCTCTCTCTCTCTCTCTCTCTCTCTCTCTCTGTGTGTGTATATATATATATATATATATATATATATATATATATATATATATATATATATATATATATATATATATATATATATGTGTGTGTGTGTGTGTGTGTGTGTGTGTGTGTGTGTACATCTGATAACGTGGAAAGTGCTATTCGTAGACGAGACATGAGGATGCGTGATAATATAGAGTGAAAAAGATCAATATGGTCAAATTTAGAGAATTGTTGCATTCGTCTGCACTGAGATTTAATCCGGAGATTGCTTGTTTTAGCAACAATCTCCTTGCCTGCACGCATCAAATACCACCCCATCCTACCTAACCCACGACTATGCATACCTCCCTAACATGTATGGAACATATCCAGGCGGATAGGAGCATTCCTCCGTGGTAGATACACTCGCACGCAGACCAAGTAACTGAACTCTAATCTAATACATGGTTACTTCCGGTTCCTAAGATTGTCATCAAGGCATTAAGTAGACTTTATATGCCCTGATTTGAATCCTGAGTGATCGTGTACTAGGTAGGATTTAATTACTGTCTCGGTACATGGTTACTTCCGGTTCCTATGATAGTCATTAAAGCATTAAGTAGACTTTGTATGCCCTGATATTAATCATTGGAATCCTGAGTGATCGTGTACTAGGTAGGATTGAATTACTGTTTCGGTAGGACAGTGTGGCTGCTACGCATGAGTGTTCATATTAATGACTATATTCCTTCCTTCTTTGAGGATGTATGCATGATGTATAGGGATGGGGAGAAGTGAATGCAAGCATAGCGATTGGTGCCGTGACCAACAAACCTAGGTTCGAATCACAGTAGGGACGAATTTAAAAATTTGTCTAACCTGTATATAGTTATAAATAGTTTTCCAACCTTTCGATCTAATCATGCTCGTTATGAGGAGAAGAATTAACTTACAAAAACAAACATAGAACACATACACCGAGAATTATTAAAAAAAGAAGACAAAATGAACACAAATTTAATGTCCGTATTGAAATGACAGGGAAGATCTACAATAATGAAAGCAAAGTCAGATGAAGAATAGCATAATAATTGCAAACTGCTTGATAATTTTGGGCTGGGGTCACAAAATACAGACAAAGATAATGAAAGATAGGAAGAGAGGATGATCAGGCTTATATATTGACAACCGTTGAATTCGATAAGAGTTTGTACTTAACCTTTCTACTGTCAAACATGTCCAAACTTAAGGACTGTAGCTTGTCGTTGAAGGTATTAACTGCCATCTGCGTGCTGAATTCCGGAGAGTTCTCCAATCTCCAGGACCAATAGTCCTCAACGACGGACTCAAAATCAGGGCCTCCAAGCACCCCTGTGATTAATAATTTGTATCATCTTCAAATTTTTTCCAAATAAAGGTTATGACTCATGAAGATATATAAATGCATGGATCTATTATCTTATATTTAGGATTAATTTTATATTTTACTTTTTTTGTGACGGACACCTATCCATAATATAACAATTAATGTGGTTGCTAGAATATCCTTTATATACAAATTTTACTGTTTGAGGGATTTATCTGCACAACATACATACATACATACATACATACATACATACATACATACATACATACATACATACATACATACATACATACATACATACATACATACATACATACATACATACATACATACATACATGCATACAGACAGACATACAATAATACACTCACAGACGTATATAGTCCTGCTTGTGTCTTTGTATTGGTAAATAGTGGTCTGTCATCTAATACAAGCTGTAAATTACATATTATAAAATAGCATATAAAAACAGTGGAATATAAACAACCGCTTTAAGGCTGCTTTCATGCAATGGTTTAATTCTAGATTACTAGAAATCATGCCCAATAAACATTATTTCACAGTTCCAATGAAAAATGGATGGTATTGGCGAAATGACATGCAAATTGAAACAAGTCTAATGCAAAAAAAAATACTGGTGCCGAAAAAAACTACTCACAGCCTGCATGGTTTGTATTCAGACAGTTGCTGTGCTGGCACAGTATTTGACGTTTGCAATATCTTACGATGATGCTAATTGTTAGACTTGGGTGTAACTTTGAAGGGGTGGACAGTGGGGGTGTAATGCAGTCTAACATATAAGTGGCAGCTAATAGGAAACACGTGCAAACATAACTGTAGCAAGGTTTCTGCACGCACTATGAAACATACAAATGTATTTGATAATAGTATTAATTTAGCGTTCTCTTTTGCTCCGACTGTGGGTCGCTTATTGTAATCATTGGCAATAAATCTGAGTCGGTTTTTTTATTCAGGAATACAATAAATTATTCTAGTGGAGCTCTACGATGAAATCATATCATATACTTCCAAATAAATCCTAAGAAACTGTAATAATAAGAATAAACATCAGACTGCTGTCAAGGGAACTTAACCTTTTTATGATGTACTTGATTACTCGCATTCTTCAGTCTTCCAAACTTTGGTTCATTTTGACCTATTGTGTACAATCTAGAGAATGTGAAATAAATGTAAACTTTAATATAATTCTACTTCTTCTTCATTCACTTTTCAGTTATTGAATGTTTACAACTTAAAATAATAATAATACACAAAGTTAATGGTCATCAACAAAGGCCTGGTGTCAGGATAATGTGACTGGTTGGGACATCAGGCTACATGTCTGCCTCAGTGCTAGACATCACTATAAACTGCCACACTGCAGACGTTAAAAATTATAAACAACACCACACCTATATATATATATATATATATATATATATATATATATATATATATATATATATATATATATATATATATATATATATATATATATATATATACCTCTTTCCTATTAACCTAATCAGCAAACTTGGTGGCTGGCTAGGGCACACAGAGTTTAGGTCAGTGGGTGGAAGGGTGACATAAAAGAAGTAAAGTCTGGATACTAAGTTATTATCATTCAATATGTAGACGAAATAATGAAATTAATAAATTATCAGGTCCAATGTATATTAATGATAATGAACATTTTATGAAAAGTGATGCCTCTGGGTGGGTGCGTGTGGTACAGTGTGGAAGATTCATCGCAGGCGCAAACTACCATTGCAACGGCTCTGTATGTTCCGCCGCTAATAACCAAGATATTTTAGGCCAGTTTGTAGATTTAAAGTTACGGATTCACCTGAGATAAAGTGAATACAACAGGCTTTTTAAGTGCGAACACTTCAGAAAGTCTGCTTAACCAAATCAGAATGTTTACTCAAGTAAAAGGATTTATGTTCATATAGCTGATAAGGTTTATAATTCTATGTGCATGCATTTTGTGAATGCTGACGTCTAATTTACACTGCATGATAATAGTTTCAGTTTAAATAAATTTAAAACAATTCTTTGCCAACATATTCAGTCTAGTTTGATAATGTTTTAAAGCAAGTTTTCATGAATTTCAATTGCATTTGTGCTTAAAGGATAATTATTAGAAATATAACGTCACAGTTCTCCCGCAGCGCCACCTTACGGAGGCAAAAACGTGACGAGCAGAAGAAAATTAAGCTGTGATAAATAAAGAATAGCCATAATTTTTAAAATTAATAAAATTACTCGGTTAAAATCATTGCATTTTGTAAGAGAAATCTTTCATTATTATTTTTAGTAACTAACATTTCCCATTAGATTAGTTTCCAAGAAAGTAGCTGTATCTGTAGTCAATATTGTTTTTCAGTTGGAACATCCTCGATCTTTTCTGTTAATTGGATGAAGAAGCATCTGATGCTTTTCACTCTTTAAGAGGAATATACAGAATTATGTTTGTTCACATGACATGTGGCGGCCGTCCCAGAAAGCAATTTACAGTCAGAACTAGAGAAAATTACAGTCAGAACTATGTCAGCTTATCCAGTCAAACTATGTATGGTGTACTACATTGGAGACGAATCACCAGTCCTAGTTAATTGATGATTACTCCTATATCCATTTCCGAGGCTATTTCACTAACTAGACAGAATTAGCCCAAGTTATGTTATGTGATGTGGTTATAATTTTTAACGTAGCTTTAAAAAATTATGTCATATCGCTACGATGTGGCAGTTTATAGTGATGTCTAGCACTGGGGCATCATGTCGCAGGCATGTAGCATGATGTCCCACCCAGTCACATTATCCTGATACCAGGTCGACCAGTCCTGACACTAATCTCCTAATGCTGAGCGTCAAGCGAGGCAGCGGTTAGTACCATTTGTTTGTAAGTCTTTTTTATGACTCGACTGGGGATCGAACCCATGTCCTCCAGCATCCGAGACAGACGCTCTAACCACTAGGTCACCGGATCGGTTAACGATATTTTGAATAATTATGGAAGCGGAACGATACAAAGTCACAATCAGAAACCAGTCGGCCCTTTTTGTCTCAACACCTTTAATGCACTCTGCAGGTAGCGGGTAACCAAACCCGTGAAATTGATGTATATTTCAACAACTATTTCCAATGTTATTTCTTCGACGAGACAAAAATGACCGAAAATATTCCATTGGCAGTGTTTCTTGGTTTGCCCGTTCATTACATAACAACGTTTTTCTAACTTTCCTATTTTGTTACATTGATTGAGCAATAGCACCACTGCACAATGACGTCACCGATACACACACTCGAGGGTTGATAGCTTGGTGTGATGATATTAACGGTCCTTAACAAAGTAGACAAATGGTAATTACGGATGCAAAAAGTGTTAAATTCGATATCATTCCAAAAACTATTTTATGTATACTTGTGATTGTTTATAATAAATATGTTTATCTTATCCGGCTTCTACAATCTAATAAAAACATTGCTACAACTGTTCTTGACCGGATGCTTTTCTCCATGTCGTCTAACTTTAGTATTTACTGTAAGTTTTACATATTATTGAATTACACACTGCAGAACAAACGTTGGCTATTTTTGAAATAATTAACGAATTATAATACAAATTTTCAATTACTAGGAAACAAAATGAATATGTTTCTACCTGGAATATCAAGTTAAAGTCTGAGCTCCATTTCAGTAGCATTTTTCGCATGATCACGGTATTACCGTTTTGCAAAGTAGCATACATGTTTTTGTTATGGCTTCGTACACCACGAATTTTGTTTTCTACGCAGTGATTAAAGTGGTCACAATATACGCATTGACGTAGCAATATGAAACCGCTATTCAAACATAACCTTTGATAGTTATAATGACCATTTTGAACTGCCATCAAGCCCGTGATGTTAGTACATCACAATATCTTCCAAATATCATAATTAATAGATGACGTATCATCACTGTTAGCAACGCAAGCAATAACTGCAGACAAATAAACTAGATTATTGCTTCAAGTTTTTCATTATAAAGTTGCATGAATGACCTTGAAAATTATCATTGCTGGTATTTTATTAATTGTTGAAACGTCTTCGAGAGTTATTTGTAAGATCTGTCATGGTATGAAACTTCCAAGAAAAAATTACCAACTTGGGAATTATCACTACGGTTACTTCAAGTCGTTTTAGACAGTCGAAGTTATTCGACTCTAAATATAAAGAGACGAGGATTGTCCGAATGATTGGTGTAGTTTGCTTCCTCTGCCCCATCATGAAATGCGCTTTACGAAGAATGTTTACATGAGTGACGTCGTAGATACATATATCAATTCCCATAAAATTAAGCGAGAAAACAAATCTGTTTCATCCTGATGATGTTTTATTTTAATTCTGAGAAAACTAGCTGATCAGAAGAAACTCACCTTATTAAAAGATAAGGAAGCTAACGGTAATTATTTATACATGTGTGTTTGCATGTGCATGTACCCAAATTATGTACCATCGAAAGGGCAATAATAATCATAAAGATTTGCCTCTCTCTCTCTCTCTCTCTCTCTCTCTCTCTCTCTCTCTCTCTCTCTCTCTCTCTCTCTCTCTCTCTCTCTCTCTCTCAGATCGTTCCAGTGGCATAGTGGTTAGAGCGTCAGCCTCAGATGCGGGAGGTCGCAGGTTCGAACCCCGACCCAGTCATATCAAAGACTTACAAAAACGGTAATATCAGCTGCTTCGCTAGGCGCTCAGCATTACGAAGTTAGTATTACGACTGGTTGGCCTGGTGTCAGGATAATTTGACTGGTTAGGACATCATGCTACGTTTCTGTGTTATGATGCCACAGTGCCAGGCATCACAATAAATTGCCACACTGAAGACATCGTAGCGCTATGACTGACAAATTGTTAAATCTGGGTTAAGTCCTTAACATGTTTAATGATGCTAGTACTTGCGTCCATCTAATCGACACATGATTGACTATTACTGATGTTCAGTTTGACAACTTTCAGGCGAAACAGAACAGGTATTAAAATTAGGTTTTGGATATTGAAAGGCCAAGGGTTAAATCATTTCAAAAGCAATATTTGTGCTTGTTTAAATATTTTTCATAATTTGAAACTTTGTACAGATCGATATATTAAGACAAGCTGCATAAATATAGAATTTAACAAATCCTGGAGGGGCATGTGTACATAATGGCGGTTCTGATTTAGTATTTCATTAGTTTGGGATGTTTCCCATGCGATGTTTCGTGTTTTAAAAGTGTCATACACTGCAAAATTAGGGAGTCCAGGTCCTTTAGTTTGAGACGAAAATGTCTGGACTGCAAGTGTGGGCGTGACCTTCACAAGGATTGTGCAAGGGATGTATAGTTGAGAGGCTATGAGAGACACGTAACCAGTGGTGTAAGACGACGGTTTTGCACAAGGAAAAAGAAAGCGAACCTCAAAGTTGAAAGACGCTGTCTTAATGTCATACATAATTTTTCTTTGATATGAGTCTTAAGATAAATATTTGAACTTAATTGTCTTAAATGATAGTGAAATCATGTGCTCTAAATATTGATTATTTTGGGGTCTTATGAGGCTCTATGCCAAAGGATTGTTTGTTAGCAATGGTGTCGCTAAGAGAAGAAGCGAATTTCGTTTGATCTATTCGTTTAACTAACATGTGAGTTCTTTTAGCCAATGAATTTGTTTATTAGCTCTTCAGCAGCATGGTGTGCTAGACGGTATTTATGGATCAGCCGTATGTGTGCATTTGTCCGACATTTAGTACAATTGTGATTAATATTTTACACTTCAGGGGTTCATTGTCATTATGGAAACAATTAGTGATGGTAACTAGTTCTGTAGGAGAAATACCTTATTCCCATGTACCATGTGACATGTCTAAGAAAAGAGAGAAAATCGAGTGTATGAAGACAAATGTAGCATTGTTGTATTGAGTTCAAGGCTATAAACTGAAACCAATTAGCAGTAGTGGTACTTTGTGAAATTTTATATTGGCTATTCTGAGTAACGGAGAATTTACTCTATACTCTATTCAAGTTGTAAGAGAATGATCAAAGGATGGGCTTTTTTAATCAAGAAAATAGCTTTCACGACCGAACGTATGAGTGGACGACCTTTTGACTGGGAGAGGTCACTAAGGGCGGCGACACATTAGTAGACCAGATCAAGAGTGTTCCTGTGCATATCGACCTCAGCGGACAATTGATTCTGGAGAGTGACGAGCATGCGCTATAAACACACGCCAAACAATTAAATTTCCACTCACTCAAGTTCGTGATGAATTTAGCCGTATCTATGTAAAGAAACTGTTAACTGCATTTTAATTCTTTGAATTAATTTATTTTTCTGGTAGAGGTGCATCCTAGAACTGGTCTTGTATAATTTTATTATGTGCATGTAGTTAAATTGTTTTACGTAGTAGTGGGTTGGGGTGTTGCTTTATTCTATATCTCCATGCCTCTGCTCATATCTTCATTTATTCCATCCATTAATTTCAAATTTTAATATCCACATAATCCGCGCAATAACACCGTTGTCGATCATCATCCAGATATCAAGAACTACCATCTAAAGCCCAAACATATTTAGACAAGGAAAATGGTACTTTTTACAAGAGTTCAGAAGCAAATTGCTCGCTTCTGGTCCGAATCGGTAATGAGTTCAAATATCGACTAAAGCAAATAGCCAGTTTAAGGTAATGTGCGCGTAGAAATTGAGACAGGAATACATTTCTCTCTCTATCACTCCCAGATAATTTGATAAGCTGCACGTGTTTTCTACTTTGATATTTGATATTGGTGCGGTCATACTCTGGTATCTGATATTGGTGCGGTCATACTCTGGTATCTGATATTGGTACGGTCATTTTAACCTCACATCTATATGCCCTTATCATTAGTGATAAGATCTTTTTTTAGTATGTATAATCTCTGTACGTAATTAGGCGTACGCCTGCTATCGTTTAGTAAGACTGATGTTCATATGTTATACAGGGACCGTCGTCCTTTATTATTTATAAGTCTCTTTATAATTACCTATTGCTTTCCTACATCGAGCAGTAAGCATTATAGAGTAAACGTTAATGTTCTCTGTAAACATAATGTTGTAATGTGTTGCTGACACATGTATAAATGATGTCAGAATTAAATACCTCCTTTGCACACGATTAAAGATAGTAAAAGGAAAACGTGCAGATGAGTGCCGAATTTGAAAAAGAGAAAGATTTTAAGAACGTTAAAATGTTAAAATAAAGTCTGAAATAGAGACAGACAAAAAGGAGATTCTTTTTCTGTACATATCTCTATTTACTTACCAGAGGTCATGAGGTACATCAAAAGTACGGCCACCATAGCTGTCATCGACCTGAAGTTTCAAATAGAATAGTTAGATGGCTTTTGCTTTAAAAGTATTACACAATTTAAGGCTGGCATAAGTCAAAGCGTCTAACACATTTCAAGGCGGCATAATAGGGAACGTCTAACACAATTCAAAGCTGGCATAACACGCAACAGGTCAAACTCCAAAAGTAATAGAATAATGCCTAGTTCTTTATGACATGTATGTATTTCTAATCAAATATTCGATTGTCCAGATTGATATGATTCTTGTATTGTTCTGGAAACTCAAAATGAAAAGGTGACGTTTGTCTCTACACATGTGTGTTGTTGTAAACCAGTAACATGTCATTTAGTAGTAAATATGTTGTAAACCATATACATGACCTTCAATATTAAATATTTTGCAAGCCATTAACATGACATTCAATAGTAAATACATTGTAAATCATTAACATGACATGACATCCAATAGTGAGAATTGTGTATTTGCTAGTCAACCATATTAATACTGGAACATTCAGAAAAAAATCACAATTATATAGTTCCTAAACCATTCAGACTTAAGACCAGCAAAGTGTCCTCTACCTCGCTACACTAGACAGCAAGAGATTGTATTAATATAGAAAGAAATACGCCTGCAGTAGGTA